TATATATATATATATATATATACACATATATATATATATACACACACGTTACAATAAATGAAGCCATAATTGAACAAGATGTGGAAATTCTGATTATGGAATATGACTTTTGATCTATAAATTCAGACTTTTTAATGTTAATCTTTTATCTAAATGTTGGTTCTTCTATTCATAGTTATTCAATATATACACACACACAAATATATATATATATATTTATATAAGCCAAACAGAGGTTCTCCCAAATAATCCTCAGACTGAGTCCTTTAAATAAAAATGATTTATTCTCTTTCAATATAGTTTTGTTCTATCCACAGCAGAAAGGAGCCTCCAGGTCACTCAGTGCTAAAACCCGATCTCCGTCTGGCCGCCCGCCGGCCGGAGCCACGCCCACAACAGTCACTCTGAGTTAGGACAAAATACAGGTCTGGGGTTCTGGAGGCCGGAGGAGGTTCTGGTTCTGGTTCTGGTCTGGGTCCCCGACGGGAGAAGCTTGTTTGTGCTGCGAAAAACTGACATCTGTCTCCAGTATGGCTGTTGAAGGCTCTGCCACGAAAAGGTCACAAGCTGAGGTAACAAAGATTTCTCCTGGGGGAGAAACACAACCAGGTCAGCTGTCCGGACACACCACTTCAAAATAAAAGCCCAGGTTTAGCACCAAACTCAAATATTCCTAAAAAGAATTTATCAAATGAATATTTAATCAATATCTAACTGTATATTTGCAAAATAATTCAACAAATTAATATTTAATAAATATGTAACTGTATATTTGCTAAATAAACAAATTAATATTTAATCAATATTTAACTTTTTATTTTCTCATTAAAAACAAACATTTCAAGTAGGAAACATTTAGAAAAAAAAATTCAAATGAAATTAAAACCAAGCATTAAAAAAAAAAAAAAGTCCAGATTGTTCTTCAGATCTTCAGAATTAAAAAATATTTATTTAAACTGTTTCTGGTCCATTTCTCACCATCAGATCATGAAGATCTTTTTTCTTTTTTTTGGCCTTTTAGGTCAACATCCGACACAAATCCCAGCATAAGAGTGATAAACATTTAATAAACAGAATATACATCTACAAATAAAAATATAGAAACAAAACAAATAAATCCATATGAAGGTCAAAATAAAGGGAAACGGAAAATAATACAGAATACTGAATAAGATGAATAAAATACAGTAGTTAAATAAGTGTAAAAATAAAAAACATCTAGATTATTTGAACTCGTTCTGTTTGTCAGACTGACAGTTTCAGCCCTCTTAAATAAATAAATGCCAGAGAAATAAGTACGTCTTTCCATTTCAAACACTCAAAAACAGCAGCTCAGATGAAACTAAGAACCAAAAAAATCTGAAAATATAAAAAAAAATTGAACAAAAAAAAATCCGAAAATATAAAATAAAACATTAAACCGAAAATATTTGAAAATATAGAACAAAAAATGGAATTAGAAAATCATTTAAAAGGAAAAAAAACAGGAATCAAGAATTCACTAATTATGTAATACTAAAAAACATTATCAATAGTATTTGTGTAAATCCACTTCTTTCCATAATTATCATATAAAAAAATACAATTTCTTGAAATATTCAAAATGTAATTAAAACTTAAATCACCTCTTTTAAATGACTAGTTTTGGTTTTTGAAAGTTGAATTTTAATTTCAGAAATTTTCAGTTTCTGATTTAAAAAAAAAAAAGAAATCCATTAGTTTTGGCCCTCACGGGCCTCCGTAGCTCATTTAGCTCATTTAGCTTAGACCAGCAACTAACGGAGGACCAGTCTGGACCAGGACCAATCTGGACCAGGACCAGTCTGGACCAATCTGGATTAGTCCGGACCAATCTGGACAAGTCCGGAACCAGTCTGAGACCAGTTGGACCAGTCTGGGACCGGTCTGGACCAGTCTAGACCCGGTCTGGACGGGTCCCTGGCCCCCCTGAAGCCGGTACGGGTCAGAACCTGCTGTGTGCTCATCATGTGGCGTTGGAGCCGCTGAGCGCCTTCGAGCCGTCTGAGTTCACCTGCTCCTTCACCACCGGGTCTGTGGAGAGACCGGGTCAGGACCAGGACCAGGACCAGGACCAGGGCCAGGGCCAGGGGCCAGGGCCAGGTCCCGGTCTAGGACCAGGGCCAGGGCCAGGGCCAGGGCCAGGACCAAGACCAGGAACTGAGCCAGGACAAGGACCAAGACCAGGACCAGGACCAGGGCCAGGACCAGGAACTTAGCCAGGACCAGGACCAAGACCAGGACCAGGACCAAGACCAGGACCAGGACCCACCCCCTCTTAGGCCTCAGGCCTGCTGGGGCCTAAGAGGGGGGCGGCCTATAGGGGACAGCCTATAGGGGAGAATCCTATAGGGGGCGGCCTATAGGGGACATCCTATATGGGGACAGCTTATGGGGGACCTATGGGGGAAACAGCCTATAGGGGAGAATCCTATAGGGGATGACCTATATGGGGACAGCTTAAAGGGGACCTGTGGGGGAAACAGCTTATAGGGGGCGCTCCCCGGGGAGGGGGCGGGGCTTACAGAAGTAGGCGTGGCGCATGGCCTGTAGGGGGCGGGGCTTACAGAAGTAGGCGTGGCCTATAGGGGCGGGGCTTACAGAAGTAGGCGTGGCGCATGGCCTCGTTGGCGGTCAGGCGCTGCTGGTGGTCGTAGCGCAGCAGCTGGTCCAGCAGGTCCAGGGCCTCGGGGCTCACCAGGTGCTGGTTCTCCGCCTGGACAAACTGCTCCCAGCGCCGCCGCGTCTGCCTGGACACACACGGGGGTTAGACCAGGACCAGGACCAGGACCGGGACCAGGACCAGGACCAGGACCAGGACCAGGACAGGGTCCAGGACCAGGACCAGGACCAGGACCGAGGACAGGTCCAGAATAGATCCAGGACCAGGACGGGTCCAGGACCCAGGACGGGTCCAGGACAGGTCCAGAATAGATCCAGGACCAGAACAGGACCAGGACGGGTCCAGGACCCAGGACGGGTCCAGGACCCAGGACCCAGGACCCAGGACCCAGGACCAGGGGCAGGACCAGACCAGGACCAGGACCGGGACCAGGACCGGGACCAGGACCGGGACCAGGACCAGGACCAAGACCAGGACCCAGGATGAGTCTAGGACCAGGCCAGGTCAAAGGACCCAGGACGTCTAAAAATGTTTACCATTTTGGGGAACAAATAGTTAAATAAGTTGTAAAGAAAAGAAATACAGAGGATCCATCAATTAAAAAAGATTAAAAAGTTAAAAAGAAAAAAAGATTATATAAAATCGTCTTAAAATTACACAGAGAAAATGTTTTTTCATCAGAATTCTTTCTTCATTTAACATTTTACTTTAATTTCTACATTTAAAAAACAATCAACAAAATTTGGTCGAATCACAACTAATTAAAAAAAACCAACATGTCGAGATGACACAAGAAAAATCATTTTAATAAAAATAAATTAAAATTAAAAATGAACTTTTTGTATAAATTGCATTTTGAATCTGATTTTAATTGTATTTGTGATTAGATGTCTAACATTTGAATGTATTGTTATACATCTTAACTCATGTCATGGCGGTGGGTCTTCCATAGGGGGGCCACACCCTTCCAAACCTCCTGTTTGTGATGATAAATGTGTTTTCTGGACCGGGCTGATACTCACTGTCCCAGCAGGTCCTTGAAGCGCGTGTCCAGCTCTATGTGGTACTTGTGCAGGTAGCCAAAGAGCTCGTCGGTGCCCAGGACTTTGGCGATGCGCACCAGCTGTGGACAGCCACACCAAACCCCCCCATCAGCCCCCGGTTCAGCAGTTTAGCCTCAGTTAAGACTCAGAAAGACGCAATTCTGGGCTCACAGAGCAGATTCACTACAGCAGAACCTCTAATTAAGTATTTATCTGGTTCCAGGAGGACTTCTGTGTTAAATATGTGTGTTGGTTCAAGTCCTCCATCAGAATACTCTGGAATTCCTAGAATTGGTTCCAAAAACCTACGATAATTCCTTAATAAATACTGCAGATAATCACACATAGCAAGAAAACTAATTACTTCTGGAAGAGAGATGGAAAAATAAATAAATGATAAAGAAATAATCAATAAAAAGGGTTTGACTTTACTACAGGAACATTAAACCAACTTAGCTTACTTATTTTATTTTATTTTCATATTTCATTTATATATTTTTCTATTACTTTAACGTCATATGTATGTTGTAATTTTACTTCAGGTGTCGAGTATATAAATATAATTTCCATTTAGGATTATTTAAATTAAAATATTCTTGAAAAACCAGAACTGGGTCTGGAAAAAACTGGAAAAACAGACCCGGGTCTAGAAAAAACAGACCCGGGTCTGGGAAAAACTAGAAATACCAGCCCTGGGTCTATTAAACCAGACCTGGATCTAAAAAAACAGACCTGGGTCTAGTCCTGGTCTAGTCCCCCCCCCCCTCGGCCTCCTACCTGGTCGTAGTTGTCCTGGCCGTGGAAAAACGGCTCCTTGAGGAAGATCATGCTGGCCAACATGCAGCCCAGACTCCACATGTCCAGACTGTAGTCGTACATCTGCACACAGACCAGAGGATGGAGCAGGGGCCGACCCCTGGGGGGCCAGAGGCTGACCTAAGAGAGGAGGCTGTTCTAGACCTGGACTCACCTGGTAGTCCACCAGCAGCTCGGGGCCTTTGAAGTAGCGGGAGGCCACCCTGACGTTGTATTCCTGAGCGGGGTGGTAGAACTCGGCCAGGCCCCAGTCTATGAGACGCAGCTGGGACACAGAAAAATCCAGACATCAGTTTACAGCTTAAGACTTTAGTTTCTAAATGAAGAAGCAGCTAGAGAGCAGATGTTTACAGTGTTTTCCCTCTGAAATCAGGGTATAAAAAGCTGGTTTGACTTTGATTTGATCTTTTTTTTATCTCCCTACTGTCCATTTTGCCGTCTCACATCTTGCCATTGGCCTTTGACCCCTTATTATTATTCTAATTACGACATTTTATCTAAATATTTTTGTTTCGATATATTGATATATTATTAGGTTATTAGGTTATTTTTAGGTTTTCACGTATCTTAGCTGTCAGTGCCTGCTGTTCTCTTTATAAACAATAATAATTCGACCTATAAACAACAAAAAACGTGGATTTTTTCCTCTGAAATCAATCTTTACAACTCAGAATGCAAATATAAATTTTAAACATCACATACTTACTAAATTTAGCAAAAAACTAAACCAAAACTATCAAATACAAACTCTAAAACCTCCCACAACTTTCCGCTTTTTCTCAGCAACCACATAATTTTCTGATTGGCTGATATGGGTTTCTTTTTAACCAATGAGGAAGAAAGTGTTGTTTCTTTTTCTTTTATGCATCACGCTGATTGACGCCATTCAAAAACCGCTTTATTCTTTTAACCCAAACTTTAGACTACTCAACCGGAAATGTCTTTAAAAATTGGAAAGGCTGAGCAGAAATGTAGTGTTCTAAAGTCTAGCTGTCTGGTGTACACCCATTTATTTTAGGTTTCTGAGGCTTTTTCATGAGATCTGAGAGGAAAGCCGTCTAATAAATGATTAATGAGACGAAATATGGCGTCTGACGTCATCACGGAGCCTTAAAAAGTGGATGAAAGTGTCACCTTCCTCAGCTGGTGGTCGATCATCACGTTGTGGGGCTTCACGTCTCTGTGCATGATGCCCATGCTGTGGCAGTAGTCCAGAGCCTGGAGGGGAACAGAGCCATTCAGGGAGTCAGTACCCGCGACCATCCTCCAGCCAAACCCACAGAAACCACGCCGTTTCCACCTTCTGCCTGCAAAAACTTACATATATCTCCCCAAACTGGTCCAAAACTGACCCAATCCAGCCCAAAATGGAACCAAACTGGCCTAAAACGGACCCAAACTAACCCAAAAGGAACCTAAACCGGCCCAAAAGGGGGCTAAACCGGTCCAAAACTGGTCCAAAGCCTACCCAAACTGTCCCAAATCAGTCCAAAATAGGCCAAAAGATAACATGGCTGGACGATGAATTTCAAACAAAAACGTTTAGTTTTTTTTGTTGATTCCCTGTTTATTTTGCATGTATTTTACATAAAACCTTAATTTGCCATCCCGTCCAACCCCACGGTGCTGATCCCATGACCCAAACTAACACAATCTAGCCCAAAAGGGACCCTAACCTGTCCAAAACTGACCCGAACTAACAAAAAATGGACCTAAACTGATCCAAAATGGACCCAAACTGACCCAATCCAGTCCAAAAGGGACCCAAACTGGTCCAAAATGGACCCAAACCTGTCCAAAAAGGACCCAAACTGGTCCAAAATGGACCCAAACTAACCCAATCCAGCCCAAAACAAACACAAACCAGTCCAAAGGGAGGCTAAACCGGTCCAAAACTGGTCCAAAGCCTACCCAAACTGACCCAAATCAGTCCAAAATAGATAACATGGAGGACGATGGATTTCAACAGAAAATGTTTTTTTTGTTGATTCCCTATTTATTTAGCATGTATTTGATATAAAAACTCAATTTCCCAGCCCGTCCTGCCCCACGGAGCTGAGCACGATGGGCTAACACCTTCTGATTTTCTCACACCGGATAATAAAGGTGGATGGGTCATTTCAAACCCTAATAAGACCCCAGCAGTTGAAACTCTTTGGCCGTGTTCTTTGACCCAGTAAAATGTGACTTGAGGTTATTTCTGGAAAGCGAGAGGGAACCGGAGCACGACGAGGCCGGACCAAATACAACTTTAGTCAGTGTTTTTTATTTTTAAAAAAGGCTTTTTTTAGCTTAAGTCTTTGTTTGCAACAAAAAAACTCGAAGAATCATTGTTTTAAAACGCCTTTCTGAGTCCGTTTGGTTCAATTTTCAGTCGGAAAATCACATCAAAAGTGACAAAAAGGAGTGTTTCCACACGCTGATCTCAAATTAAACCGACTGGTTCGTATCTCCTTCAGAAGCAGAGCAGTTGGCCCCAAAACGTCTCCTTTCTGGGTCGAATAATCTAAAGAAAACTGTGACGTCGGCTGGAGTTTGGGGTGGTTTCAGGTTACAATCCGTCAGAAAAACCCTCAAAGGATCGTCAGAAGTCCTCCAAATACTGAATGAAAGGGTTTACGGATTAAATGCGTCTAAATAAATCGAGTTCTGTGTCGAGTTGCTGCTGGTTCTGTGGTAGGAAGAGCCTCATTATCAGCCTTTAACCCGACCAAAAAGCAATCCACAAGCAGAGGCAGCCAGAGGTAACCCCAACTTGTATGTGTTTTATATTTATATTTATATTTGCCAATCCGTCCTACCCCACGGAGCTGAGCGCACGACCCAAACTAACCCAATCCAGCCCAAAAGGGACACAAATTGACCCAAAACGGACCCAAACTAACCCAATCCAGCTCAAAAGGGACCCACACCGGTCCAAAATGGACCCAAACTGGTCCAAAACTGACCAGAACTAACCCAAAACGGACCCAAACTGGTCCAAAACTGACCAGAACTAACCCAATCCAGGCCAAAAGGGACCCAAAACTGGTCCAAAACTGACCCAAACCAACCCAAAACTGACCCAAACTGGTCCAAGACTGACCCGAACCAACCCAAAACGGACCCAAAATGGACCCAAACTAACCCAAAACGGACCCAAACTGGTCCAAAATGGACCCAAACTAACCCGAACTGGTCCAAAACGGACCCAAAGTAACCCAATCCAGCCCAAAATTAACACAAACCAATCCCCCAAAAAATGGTTAGGACACAGACCTGTGGGTCAGGAGATGCTAATGCTAGTGTGGGATCTGACTTTTTAAAGAAAAAAAGAATACTAGCTCATGTCAGCCAACTTTGGAGCAGAGTCGGGTTAAAGCTTACCTTGAGGAGCTCGTACATGTAGAAGCGGATGTCGTAGTCGGTCAGCTTCTGATAGAGCTCCTGTGGAGGAAACACAGGAGGGGTGTGAAGGCCTGGGCCCACAGAGGGACGCCGGGGGCTCTAACTTCAGGGTTATTATGCGTGGTATTAATGATGGATAAAGAGGCGTGAACGGAAGCTCTGCGCATAATGCGGGCCAAACAAAGTACCTTAAAATCTGTGTTATTGATGTACTCAAAGACAAGCGCTGGCGTTCTGGACTGCAAAGAGAGGACAACACACAGCTTAACCGGGACAGAGGTGGAGGCCGTTAAGGTCGTTAGCGCGGCGGCGGGATTAAAGATGGCCGACATGCCGGCATGCAGCACGGCGCCGCCCGACACTCACCACCGGGTCTTTGACCGTGTCCACCAGCCGGATGATGTTGGTGCCCCCCCGCAGGTTCTCCAGGATTTTGATCTCTCGCTTGATCTTCTTCTTCTTGACGGGCTGAGAAGGGAGAGAATTAATTAATAAAATAACTAGAAAAGGGCTGTTTGTGCAAAAAAAGCCGTGAGAATGCCTAATGCTGAATGGAGGACGCCAAAGGAAAGCTGAAAAAGACATAGAACTGAAGATTAGAAGAAGAATTGCTGAAGGGAGAAACCAGAAGAAGCCAAAAAAAGCTGAAAAAGACATGGAAATGAAGAGTGAAGGAAAACGGCTGAACAGAGGTATAATTTGAGAGAGCTAAAAATGAAATGATTTTAAAATCACCAGAAGATAAACAAAAGCTGAAACACAATCAGGAAACCAGGTGGATCCACTCAGCTGAAGTAGTTAGGGCTTAAGTGGGTCAGAGTTTATCAAGGATTTGAAAGACAGAAACCATCAGCACAAGTCAGCACTGAGGAAGCAGAAGAAGCCAAAGAAAAGCTGAAAAAGTGGAAGAAAAAAGGCTGAAGGGAGGAAGAATTTTAAAGAACTGAAAACTAAAGAGTGGAAAAAGAAAGGTAAAAGGATTAGAAGAAGAGTAAAAGGCCATGAAATTATAGATAAGGTACAAGAAGATTTGAACCAGCAACTTCTGGATCTGCAGTCAAAGGCTCTACCACTGAGTTATACGACAGGCTGAAGGGCTGCAGAGGAATTCATAGGAAAAATTTGAAGGGGGGGGCATATGTTTTGCTCCATTCATTTCAATGAGAGGAATGAGGCATAAGAAGTTAAATATTTTAAAAAGTTGAGAAGATTTGAACACCAAAAGTCACAGCTGCATAGTCCTGAGATAGCTGAACATTTTGATTCCTTATTTGTTGAAATAAACTGAGAGGTGTAGGAGTAGTTAGATGCAGAAAAACATACGGAATATGGAATAATAAAGAGAAACAGGAGGCATTCTCACAATGAGAGAAAATAAAAGCAGAAAAAGTTAAATGACTTAAAAAGTTGACAAGATTTTAACACCAAAAGTGCTGAAAGAGGTGAACATTTTGATTCCTTATTTGTTGAAATAGGCTAAAAACGTGAAAAGTGAAGCAGGAAAACAATAATGGAGCAAAAGATATAAAGTTAGAGGGAGAGAAAACCCCACTGGGGGGTGACCGGGGGGCCGGAACTCACCTTGAGGATTTTGACCACCACCTTCTCGTTGTTGGTGACGTTTATGGCCTCGAACACCTCGCTGTACTTCCCCCGGCCCAATTTGCGCACCAGCTGGTAGTTGTCCTGGTTGCTGAGGGGGGGGGGGACACGGTTCAGATAGGATTACTTTACTGTGCCTACTTTTGTCTTCGTTTTGGTTTTAAGATTAGATCCAGTGTGGTGGGGAGAGCTCCAGATCGTAGCCATCAGACCAGCAGTGACCAACAGTGCAGAGGGATTTACTCTGATAACAACTTGATGGTTAGGACACAGACCTTTGGTTACAGATGCTAATGCTAATGCTTGTGTGGGATCAGACTTAAACAAAAAAACTGGATCTGGAGTCTGGATCTGCATTTTCTCCTGCCGGCTGACACGCATCCCTTTTGGACCAGTTTATCTCAGTCTTAGACCGGTTTGGGTCCCTTTTGGCCTGGATTGGGTCAGTTTGGGTCGTGTGCTCAGCTCCGTGGGATAAGACAGGTTGGAAAATGAAGGTTTTATATCAAATACATTCTAAATAAACAGGGAATCAACAAAAAATTCAATCCTTCGTCCCACCACGTTATCTTTTGGCCTATTTTTGGCTGATTTGGGTCAGTTTGGGTAGGCTTTGGACCAGTTTTGGACCAGTTTAGCCCCTTTTTGGACCGGTTTGTGGTCATTTCGGGTTAGTTTGGGTCAGTTTTGGTCCGTTTTGGACAGTTTGGGTCCATTTTGGACCAGTTTGGATACGTTTTGGACCAGATTAAGTCCATTTTGGACCAGTTTGGATCCGTTTTGGACCAGTTCGGGGCCGTTTTGGACCAGTTCTTATCCGTTTTGGAACAGTCCGAGTACGTTTTGGACCAGTTTGGATCTGTTTTGGGCTGGATTGGGTCTAGTCCTAACCATTCATTTGTCATCAGAGTAAATCCCTGTTCAAAATGAGTCTGACAACCAAGTAAGAAGCTAAATAACTTTAGACTTTAGGACAGGCTCTGACAGGCCGGGATCGGTATCAGAAATCTGGACGGGGACGTCCCTCCCCCTGACTCAGGCCCCCAGGCTAACGGCCCGTACCTCCAGTTGGGCACGTGTGCGTCGTAGTCCCAGTACTCGCGGTTCTTCTGCGTGTTGACGTCGGTGTAGACCCGAGCCTTGCTGCTGGCCGGCGTGGACCCGGGCATGGCGCGCTGGTCGGCCCCGGGCCGGGGACCCCCGCCCTCCTCTGGCTGCTTGCTGTCGGCTCGGTACCGGAAGGCGGCGGCGGGGCAGCGACCGTGCAGGCTTCGGGGCTCTAGGATCCCGGGGGGGAGCTTCGCATTGGCCTGGGCTGCCTGTGCCCTCTGGGGAAAGCCGGCCGCCGAGCAGAGGGACAAGGCCACCAGGACAGAGCGAGAGAAACCCCTAAGAAACACGCTGGGCAGGAGGGGGGGGAGCACCGCCAGCTGGGGGGGAAACCAGAGTCATCAGCACATGTTTACAAGCTTTTAATTTTCATTAAACTGACAACCTGATGTTTTTATTCATCTCAGATTAACAAAATATACGTGTGAACACAGTAAAAAGAAAACAAAAATGGACAAATTTCAACTAGATCAACTGGTTGTTGTACAAACCATCCGAGGGGTCGGAAAGTATAACAGAAGCTTTTGCTTTCTTTAAACTGACAACCTGCTGTTTTTATTCATCTCAGATTAACAAACTATACGTCTGGACACAGTAAAAAGAAAACAAAAATGGACAAATTGCTTAATATATCAACGGGTTGTTGTACAAACCATCCAAGGGTCGGAAAGGATAACGTAAAAGAAGCTGCTTATATCACAAAATAGCTCTGTTTTAGCACTGCCAAACAGAAATAAAAAAAGATCTGATCCTCTATAGACAGATTAAAACTAGTTACCCATTTGTAGATCCTTAACTCTTGTAAAAACAACTCCAACTCAAACTTTACGATGTTTTTCTATACTATTATAGTGTTCTGATCCTTTATAGAGAGATTAAAACTAGGTACCCATTTGTAGGTCCTTAACTCTTGTAAAAACAACTCTAATTTCAACTTTACAATGTTTTTCTAAACTATTATTGTGCCAAAAAGACCAGTTCTTCTGGTCTAAGGCATAGAGGTTTTACTTGTTCCACCTGGATGAGAATATTGTCCGATATCAATCGCCTGGAGGGAAGATTTACAGGACCGGAAAGAGGCGTGAGTACTGCAGTTTAACTGGCTAATGAGGAAATGTGTGACGCCCAAACAGCTTCATATCCCGATAGACATCCAGAAAAATGATTACTGCCATTGACATGTGCAAAAAAAGTCAAATATTCTTACGGAAGAGCACCAGTAAAGCTAAATTGATTATATTCTAAAACAATGTACTTTCGTTGGATAAGGTACTTCTTCATTTTGAAGGAATTTGTTCTGATTAGTGTTGTATTTTTTTGTCTTTTTCTCTCTTTTCAACTGAGTGGGACTCTATGATATCTCATAAAAACTTGACTTTTGAGGAAAGACAAGCTGAACGATAATTGAGTTGCCCTTGACTTTTCCTTATCTGTGAGATTAAGCTATTTTCTGTATATCACTGGAAGAATTTTCCAAAACCCAATAAAGATGATGTTGGGGGGAAACAAAAGAATAATGTGTGATTGTCTGATCCAGGTCAGCACAGAGGAACAACAGATATGAGACATACGAAGGTATTTAACACGAGAAACACATTTGGAAAACTCTAGAGAGAGACAGAGGGAAGGCTTTTGGGAATCCTCCATGACCTTTTGGTATCTTTTGTATCTGTCTGTTTACAAGCACGGGATTTTAGGAAGCACCACTAAACTTTTTCCACTGGTAGAGAGGGAAAACAAGACGTTAAGAAACCTAATTATATATCCATGACCATCTAATTCACAGACAGAAATAACCAGGATTGTCAAGTCTGCATAACCAGTGAACCTGTTACATCATACTTAATAAAGTAACCATCTTAATTTAAATAGGTAATTTTGTGTCCTTCTGTTTTTTTTTCTTTTCTTTTTTGTTAAATATCTAGGCGATTACCCCAATTTTGGGACCATTTTTATTAGATTTTAACGTAGCTTTACAAAATGTAATGATGTTCTACCTCTGTCGTGATTACAAGCTGGGTTTTAATAAAATGGTCGTTTCAAATACACAACAATGCAATATGGAGTTTTCAGGGTGGTGTTTTAATCTTTTCTCGCCTTTATAACATCTATCATGATATTTAATTAATCCTTTTGGGGTTTTTTAATGGCAGGCCCACTATATTTTCTGATTCCGAATCCAGCTTCTCTTTAACCGACCATCCGTCTCTAATTGACCCAAAGGCCTTCGTTTGGAGTCTGTCGCACCAAAAAATTAATCATCTACATTTTTGACGTTATATTTAAAGTGTTACCTCTCAGAACTCGGTCAGGGAACTGTGTCAGTATTAGCTAGCATCACTAACGACACATTCATCTCCAGCTAACTAGGCTAACAGGTAACGATAACCTGGTTAGCTTATTTAGCATCAAACTGTTCAGATTTGGCCGGTTGCGTTAGCAGAGAAGAGGTGTTTTCAGTTAAGTCCGTAAAATTTAGTAAATTAATAACGCATAAGCCAAATAATGCGCCCGTAGCATCATTTTTTGATTAACAGAATCAATAGCGGGGCTAAAATTAGCCGGCTAACCTCGTCGTAAAAAGCTCGCGCCCGGAGGAAGTCCAACCGTCATCAACGACCGTTAGCGCGCGAGCTCCAACGGTCCTCCGATAGCCGTTAAGCGACGGGGCCCCGCCGGGTGCCAGGAGATCGATAAAGGGCGGAATACCGTCCGGGTGGGGGACTAAATGGTTCTGACAGATGGGTGGAGGTGGTGGAGGAGGAGGTACATCCAACAGCGGGTCGAGTCAGAACCAGGAAGTAGTTCCCTCTGCGGAAAACTTAACCCGGAAGTGAACCGACCAGGCCGCCCTGCAAGCTAATTACGGTAAGAAAAATAAAAATAAACACATATTTTCGTCTTTTTATACTAAACTAACTCTTTGTTTATTTACGTTTCATTTACGTTTGGTTAAAATGTGCCAAGGCTGTGTTTGTAAATGTCTTCATAAAGTTGCTTTTTTAATTAAAGTTTAAAAAAGAAAATTCATGTTTAAAAAAGAAAAACTATGACGGAATATTAGGGCCACATTTATAAAATAATGCATTTTTGGAATTAATTACTAGATTAAAGTCGTTATCAGATATAAGAAGAATTAATTACGAGATTGAAGTCGTTATTCAATATAGCAATAATTAATTACGAGAATAAAAACGTAATTAAATATGGCAAAAATAAATTACAAGAATAAAGTCGTAAATAAAAGTAATATGAGATGAGAGTTGATCAAATGAGAGTGGTGGAGCATGGAATTCGAGGAAATGTCTCTTTGGATAGGTTTGACAAACAAGGAGATACTTAATCTTTTGGCATTTCAGAATCAGATTATCGAAAGTATCAGGACGTTAAAGAGAACATGCAGAAAAATGCATCTTTTCCTCAGAAATAACCAGGGGGACTTATAGGACATCCTTGTTTCTGTGGAGAGGAAAAGGCTGGAAGTGGTCAGCGGCAGTTTAATGACCAATTTGAGAGGTTTATTCTCACCATATTTAATAAGAACTTTAATCTCCTAATTATTTACTTTAAAACAATTCAAATGTGGCCCTCGTATTCCGTCGTAAAAACAGATATTTTTCATTACTAATTTTAGTCTAATTTGTAAACAAACCAAAACGATTTTAACTTAAAAACATTTTTAAACGTAGGAAAGAAGTAGTGAATTGTTTTGGTTTCTAAAGCTTTGCATAAACCCCTAAGAGATCCTCATTTAGCCCCACACCTGCTAAATGTTTAGATCAGAGCAGTTATGGACCAGAACTAACTCCACTTTCTGTCACATGAGGGAAGGACTTGGAAATTAGTCAGATAAATAAATCCTGTAAATGGAGAAACGACTTTGTGTTGCTCTAAAAAAAAAACTGTTAACACTCAAATGCAGATCTGTTGACATATGGATGCTGGGTTTTCTGTGGCCCTTTTCCTCCATCAGCTCCAGAACAGATGATGGGTCTCTGTGACAAAGAGCCTGAAGATCCACTTTAAGCTGCAGACACTGGCTCATCCCTTGAGTTAGGGGCCTTTGAGTGACTCAGAGCTCAGAGTTAAGTGGCTGAACAAAGAAAAATATGGACTGAAAATGAGAAAAAACTCAGAAAACTGACAAACAAACCCCGGAAAGAGCTTCAGACAGATCTGTGTAGACACAGGGTGGCTCATCCCTTGAGTTAGGGGCCTTTTTTCTGGCTGAATGACTCAGAGCTAAGTGGCTGAACAAAGAAAAAAAACACAGTCCTGCGAAAATGCCCAGCTACAAGGAACAAAAATGAGAGAAAACTCTGATATTTTGGTAAAATTAGTTTTCCACATAATGGTCAGAAAACAAACTGACCTTCTATATCTTTACATCATCCCCCCACATTTTCACTGTTCCCTCAACAAGAAAATCCACTTATTTTATTATCAAATTTAGTCTAAACTGCAAAAGACACAATTCACAACCACTTTAAAATCAGATAAATATCTCTTTTTTTTTAAGATCAGGGTAATAAATCAGCCAAAACGTCATTAATTAGAGAGATTAATGAAAAATACGAGCACAAAACTCCAAATGAGGCCCAGTTTGGTTGTTTTTTTTTTCCCCCAGGAAACACAGAAAAGCGTCTTTGAGCGGTAAAACGAACATAAACAGGGCCTTGCTTCTTATAAGGGTGGTTTATTTTAATATACAGTATGAACAGGAGTCTATAATGATATCCATACACTTCAAAACACGGGGTCCTTTTGAGGCAGACTCCCCTGGATTCAAACCACTCAGTCTCCACCAAACCCAGCAGCTCCCACCCCGTCGGGAGCTTTAAGTCCAAAAACCGTCTTTTAAATATACTGCAAAGATTGTATAGAATATAAAAATCCACACAGTAAACTAAAGTACACACGTCTCTTTTTTTTCTTCTCTCTTTTCGGTATAAACCGAGACATAAGTGGCAACTTTTGAGGCTACTCGGATTATTTAAGTCTGGTTTGGAGGCTGGAATCCTGTGAAAACAATCCAGGTCAATTTTTAGAAAACAAACCATGATGATGATAATAATAATAATAATAATAATAATAATAATAATAATAATAATAATGTAACTTTTGTTAGATCTATCACAGTAACTAACGCAGCTAGTTTGTGGCAAAATGAGCAACAAAATGCTTCGAAGTCTCGTTGGGTTTAAACTTCATGATAACTCTTCTGGAAAAGAAGCTAAGCTGCTTGCAAAAATACAACAAGCTCATTCATAGTGAATAGAAAAGCAGATAACATAAGCACTATACAGTCTTCAAAAGTTTACAGAGCGTATACACACAATCTATAATATAACAGAGTAGACTATTCCATGAATCAGTAGTCATAAATATTACACTGTGCATGTCCTATTGCACAAGTCAAGTGTTGGTATGACACCATAGGTACGGGTTAGTTACCTAGCCGTCATTTTTTTAATACAAAGATGCAACGACACAGATTTTTATATGACACCGGCTATACATTTTCACAAATCCACTTGATTTTTTTCTTTTTCTTCCTCTTGGGACGCTTTCCTAAATGAACCAAACCTATAATACAACAGTGATATTAAGGTGGGATAAATATTCATGCACAAACGGATGACGCTAGCTAAAGGTCTAGTTTGTGAGTGAGGGGGGGGGGGGGGCGCCTGCCAGCTTTAAGTTAAAAAAACAACACATAAATGACTGATTGGTTAAAACAGAGAAAAGAGAAAAGGCACATGGAGCCTAGAGAGGAGCACTAAGGATGGAGACCAACGCGAACACGACAGACGACCACATGCAACCACAGACTACGGTTCCACCCTCTACACAAAACCAGCATCTTCCCACGCCCCACACTCACATGGTTTCCCTCTCTATGGGGGGGGGCAGCCCCCTGGGACCGGACCAGGAACCGAGACCGGACTAGGAACCAAGACCGAACAGGGTCAGGAGAAACTGACCGAACAGTCAAAAGAATATGACCGAACAGAGTCAAGAGACCCGACCACACAGTCAGGAGAAACTGTCTGAACAGAGTCTAGAGAAACTGTCCGAACAGAGTCTAGAGAAACTGTCCGAACAGAGTCTAGAGAAACTGTCCGAACAGAGTCTAGAGAAACTGACAGAGTCACTAGACCCTGACCGAACCGAGTCGTTCAAGAGAAACCGACCGAACAGAGTCTATAGAAACTGACAGAGTCACGAGACCCTGACCGAACCGAGTCCAGGGAAACCGACCAAACCGAGTCCAGGGAAACCGACCGAACCGAGTCCAGAGAAACCAAAAGTGATGCTAGCGCGTGGTTAGCTGGGGCGGGCGGCGCTAACTCAGGGGATGCAGGGCGCCTCGGGGAAGCTCTCGCCCTCGGCGGTGTGCTGGACGGTGTGCTCCTGGAGGGCGGTCAGGTCCACGAAGCGCTCGCCGCACCACACGCACTTGAACTGCGTCTCCCGGGAGTGCACGCTCTGGTGCTTGGCCAGGTGCTCGCGCTGCTTGAAGCTCTTGTCGCAGCTGGCGCACTTGAAGGGCTTCTCGCCGGTGTGCACGCGGCGGTGGCGCTGCAGCTCCGAGGAGTAGCGGAAGCGCTTCTCGCAGTCGGGGCACTTGAGCGGTTTCTCGCGGGTGGGGTCGCAGCGGTGCTGCACGAACTCGGAGGAGGACACGAAGCGCTTGTCGCACAGCGAGCACTTGAGCGGCTTCTCGGCGCAGTGAGTGTTCTGGTGGCGCTGCAGCGTGGAGTTCTTCTTGTAGCCCTTCCCGCACACCTCGCACTTGTAGGGCTTCTCCACCTCGCCGCCGCACTTGTGGCGCAGCAGCTCGCCCGACTGGCTGAAGGACTTCTGGCAGGAGGCGCACTTGAAGAGGCTCTCCATGCCGTGCACCTGCTGGTGGTAGAGCAGGTGCGAGGGCTGCAGGAAGCCCTTGTCGCACAGGTTGCACTTGAAGGGCCGGTCGGCCGGGTTCTTGTGGGTCCGGCGGTGGCGCACCAGCGCGTACTGCTGCTTGAAGCTCATCTGGCACTCCTCGCACTGGAAGGGCCGCTCCTCGGAGTGCGTGCGCTCGTGCTGGCGCAGGTCGGACGGGCGCTTGAAGCTCTTGCCGCAGGAGCCGCAGCGGAAGGGCCGCTCGCCCTCCGGCTGGCACTGGTGGTGCAGCAGCTCCGAGGACTCCTTGAAGTGCATCTCGCACAGGTTGCACTTGAACAGGTGCTCGCCCGAGTGCGCGTACATGTGGCGCACCAGGTGGGAGCGGTGCTTGAAGCTCTTCTCGCACACGGCGCACTTGTAGGGCCTCTCGGAGCTGTGCGTGCGCTGGTGGTGGGCCAGGTGCGAGGACTGGCTGAAGCTCTTGTCGCAGGTGTCGCACTTGTAGGGCTTCTCGCCCGTGTGGATGCGCTCGTGGCGCGTCAGCTCCGACAGGTGCCGGAAGGACTTGTGGCACACCGAGCACTTGTAGGGCCGGTCCGGCGCCGAGGCCTCGAAGGTGGGCGGCGAGGAGGCGCCGATGGCCGCCCCCCCGCTGGACGTCTCCCCCGTGGAGGGCTGCTGCGGGTTGGCGGCCGAGGAAGTCGGCGTGACGTTGCCGGAGCCGGGCCGGTAGGTCTTCTCGCAGATGGAGCACTTCATGGGGTTGTTGCCGTTGCCGTGGGAGTTGTGGTGCTGGGCCAGCGAGGTGAGCAGGGAGAAGCCCATCTTGCAGACGCCGCACACGAAAGGCTTCTGCTCCACCTGCACGCACTGGTGCTCCAGCAGGTCCGTGGCCTGGCTGAAGATCTTCATGCACTGCGTGCACTGGAACGACCGGTCCTGGCTCACCATGCACTGGTGCTCGTGGGGGTTGGCCAGGTGCGAGAGGTCATGGCCGCACACGCCGCACTTGTGGCCTCTGTCGCCCCCCACCTGCAGGGAGGCCTGCTGGACCTGGACCACGTGCTGCTGGGGGTGCTGGGGCTGCTGCAGGGAGGCGTCCGGCTGCAGCACCACCCCGTACACCGTGCAGCCCAGGGGGTTGTCCGTGCCCTGGGGGAGCGTGTGCACCACGGAGGGAGGGGCCACCGCGTGCTGCTGCTGCTGCCAGGCCTCCGTCATCCTCACACTCCGATCGGGGACAGGGCTCAGAGGAAGGGGAGGAAATTGTGGTCCAAACTTGTGTTGTTAAAAAAAAACGGTGGCTCGCTTCTTTGAGGGAAGCCCAGTGCTATATCTGCACTCCCTCACGTCTGGTGAAAACAGGAAAAACCTGGAGGAGAGCAAATAGAGAGGACACATTATCTAGCTAGCATCAAATATACGAGAGCACACTAACAAACAGAGGAGGATGTGAGTATGGAGGGGTAAAAGCCACAACAGTTAGCATTCAAATGAGCATTGTAAACAGCGTTTTGGAAGAATTTAACCCTCCATAAAGGAAGCAAACAGAGATAAAGAACCAGAGTCAGGGGGAAGAGAGCATATTAAGACTTATTCGTGATTAACATAAAGATGATTTGCAGGGCTTTTTAACTTGTTAGTTTCAAATAAAACCCCCCATCAAACTCCTGTTCGAAAGCAGGTTTCCGGGAGTCCGATTGCCTCCACGAAATCTGGGCCACTTGCACTCAAAGAGAGCGTAGAAATAACAGTCACCGGACTAGCTTAGACCTTTATGAAAACCAGAAATAATGGGCTCGGTCTATTTCCTGAAACGTCAATAGGGCATGTAACGGTTCAAAATGTGAGCCGTGCGTTCAAATTCAGACTCTGAAAGCATTTTAAATAAAAACGCGGCTCCTCTCCTGCAAATACGTAGAGCTTTATCCCCCCAATAAGTCCGTAAAATGGTTTATTTTGCGGGATGGAGCCCGCCGTGAGACGTTAGTTAGCATGTCGGCTAACGGCTAGATGCGGCTAACGGCTAACCACCAGACGCGGCTAACAATGCTACGGCGCCGGACCTCCCTCCCAAACTACGCCGGCTCTTTCTCGTTTTAAAAAAAAACTCGTATTTGTCGTTTTGCCTGATTAAAAAGGCGCAAACCAGGCGGCAATAGTGGGGGAGAGGAGGCCGGGGGAGGGTGGGTGGAGGGGGGAACAGCCCGCGAGCCCAACGGCCGGGCTCGCGACGCCGCTTTTTTGAAAAGGCCACAATAACGGCTCCAACGGTCGCGGGGGTGAAACCCGCCCGGCCCCGCGCTTCCGCAAAACCCTCCGCCCGGTCCCCGGCGACTCACCCGGGTCGGTTACCGGTGCTTTCCGCTGCCGAGCCCAGCTCGGGGTCGACGACCGGGGGCGCTTTGGGAGCTCGGAGGACCGGCGGCGGAGGGGATGCGGTGGGAGCCGGACGCCATCCTCCAGCGGACGGACGGACACCGGAAACCGCCACGCAGCGACGGGCTGCCGGCGGCGGCTACGGCCGCTTCATGGGGCACGAAGCCCCGGGGGGAGCAGCCCGGGGAGCCCGAAACAAGCGCCGGTGGAGGCGACGGGCTGCGTCCGGGGGTTGTTTTAGGAGCTTTCAAACTAGCACAAAGGCGCCCCGGAGCCCGATCGGAGACCAGGCGGTGCAGTTCCCCCGTTGGGACGCCAGGGGGCGGCGTTCAGGCCCCCCCAGACGGTCCCGGTCCCGGTCCCGGACAGCCGGGCCCAGCGTGGGTCCATCCCGGGTCCATCACCACTCCGGCTCCTCCAGCCCGCGAACAATTCAATTCAATTTTATTTCTATAGCGCCACATCACAACAACAGTTGTTTGTCTCACAGCGCTTTCCAAACAGAGCAGGTCAGACCTACTCTGAAGTTAATTACAGAAACCCAACAATTCCCACCATGAGCAGCACTAGGCGACACACGCAAGGAAAAACTTCCTTCAACAGGCAGAAACCTGGAGCAGAACCATGGCTCAGGGTGGGGGGGCATCTGCCTCGGCCGGTTGGGG